TTATTTCTACTCACCACATTTTGTTCAGTTCCCATTTCTCCTGTATAGAAATGGTGTATTTTCCTATTTAGATTTATAAAATTAGTAAGAATGGTAGAGAATAATGATCAACCATCAACATTTTGGGGAGGAGGGAGGTTATTGGGGAGTAAACTCAGAACCTTTCCCATGTAAGGCAAGTGTTACAACTGAGATGTAACATCAGCCTGTATCAACATTTAAGTGAAGGCTTTGAAGGCCAACTTTCTCTAGTAGTTAAACAATGCTATTAGTGGGATTGCTTTTATAATACCATGAATCTGTAAGATGTTCTAGAAAAAAAAAAACCAGGCAATTAAGACATGAATTAAAAACAGAAAATCAGAGGACTTTCAGTTACTTGGGGAGTTTACTTGGGTCAGACATGTTACTTGTGGGGGACCGTTTCAAAGGAGTGTTTCAGCTCATGCTGTTTCTGGTGTTGAAGAGGAAACAAAAGTCATTATGTGGATTGAAATCCCATATAACTGGCATTATTGCTCTTACCATAGAGCTGGACATGCTGGCTGGGATGCTCAGGGGATAACTGTCTCAAAATGATAAGTGCATTAAAAATAAGTTGTAGAATATTAATTTAATATGTGTTACACTTGTTTATCCTGTGGAATATTTGCTTAGTTATGCAAAGATGTGCTGCTTTCTTTAATGTTGCATTGTTTAATGCGGTGGAGCTGTGTTACTTTGCCTGTCTAAAACACCCAATTGGTCTAAAGAAGAGCAGAATCACCAATAGCTGGGTAGCAGAAAGGATAGGTGGGGCTGGCAGGCAAAGAGAATAAATAAATAGGAGGAGAAATCTGGGAAGAAAGATTGAGGAGAAGGAGAGACGACATCAGGCACCAGCTACCCAGCTACCCAGCAAGCTATGAAGTAAGAAGTAAAGAAAGGTATATAGGACAGAGAAAGATAGAAGCTCAGAGACAAAATGTAGATGTGTGATATTTTGGAGTTGGGTGGTAGCCTCCAAAGAACAAATCATAAGAGTTAAAAAAAAATACTACAATAAGTACCCAACCACCTCTAATGTCTCATCCTCAGCATTACCCCTGCATAGGATTATTCTTTCCTTTCCTTACATTTTCCACACGTCTCCAAACCCAGTCAAACCAGTTGTTTCTTTCTTCTCTCTGTGTTGGCTTCATGATTTACAGCTTATATTGGCCTAGGACTGCTTTTTTTTTTTTTTTTTTTTTTTTTTTTGAAAAATTGATTTCCTTATTACCTAGGTCCTTTATAACAAAAGGATGACTCAAAGTTGCCATGACCATCTTCCCCACCCCCAGCATTAAAATGATGACAAACCCAAATAAACCACAACAGTTTCTTTTCTAGAAGTAAAGAGAAGTCTGAATATTTAGTCTTTTTTGAGGCTGTAATGTAACCTTTGATAGCCTACTATTAAGTGCAATAGGGATCAGGCCCCACTATGTGGTGTGGTACGTATTGTTTTTTTTTTTTTTTGTTGTTTGTTTGTTTTAAATAAAAACAGTGAGTTGTTTTCTAGGAACCTAGCTGGCAATTGACTTGAACTATGTTCCTGTGAGTGAGATCACTGAGCAACATACTGGGAAGAATGGCAAAGTTTAGAAACTTGAAGCTCCATGTCCAAAAACGCAATGTTTTTATTTTTAACAGTCCAAATAGATTATTGTTTCCATTTTTTTTTTTTTTACTTAGTTGCTTCCGTTTCTCCCCCAGTTCACTTTGTTCTTTCTTGAGACAATAGTGACTCCTGGGACCTTCGCACTTACTCACTGTCTTCTTACACAGGCCCCAGCTCAAAATATTGAGCTGTGCCTCCTCACACATCATGATACGGCTTTATATCCTGCATAGCTCCTGGTGCTGCTGGGTTATTACAGTTCAGGCTCTCCATAAAACAAGGGCTGGAAGCAAACAAAGTTCTTTGCTACTGCTCTAGTTGGAGGTGATATCCCAGGGAAGAAGAGAAGCATGGACAGGGGTAAGAGATGGTGAACACATGATGCTGCTGGAGGATGCTGGTGACATCATCCCCAGAAACTGCTGTTGCTGGCTCAGCCTCAATGTGTCTTCTGATTCCTTCCCATCTCTACTTCTTAGGTGTCTGCGTGCTTCCTTTGGGTGCTAACTCCCACATTGTTCTGTTCTGTACATTAGTACAGCTGCTGGCAAAGCCACTCTGAACTGCTGGGTTTTACTACCACGAGGACTGTGTGAGTTACTGCTGGGATTATTCCAGCACAGACCTGGGAGGCAGGTGGGGCTGATGGGAGATGTCATTCTGTATATGTGTCTCATACTGGTTAATGAATAAAGCACTGTTGGCCAATAGGAAAGGAAGATAGGAGGGACTAGGAGACAAGGAGAAATGAGGAAGTAGTAAGGAGGAGTCAAGATGGAGAGTCTGGAGAGAGCAATATGCAGCAGCTGGCTCCCGGTAAGAAAAACATGTGGACATACATAGATTAACACAAATGGGTTAATAACTAAGGCAGAGCTAGCCAATAAGAAACTAGTACCTGGCCAATAGCATTGTATCAAATACAGAGTCTCTGTACATTATTTGGGGCTGGCGCGGCGGCGGGACAAGACCAGCGGTGGGAGGAAAAACCCATACTTCTTACATGGGCCACATGAGATAAGCAGAAATTTGTCTACTATCTCAACATTGCATACTTACTTGTATATTATCGTGTCCCACATTGGGAAGAATAGAGATTGTTTTGTTCACTGCTCACAATACATTCATTGCCATAGGGAGGAATGTTGGGTATATACTATACATAAATAAATATTTATTGAATTAATTTACAGTATGTCAGAGATAGTTAAAGGAATTATAAGACATTGGGGTTCAAGCTAAAGATCAGAAAAACAAAGCAGCTAGCCATAGCTCTTACCTCTACTTCAGATCAACATGGGTGTTTCTGTCTCCATCAATCCTCAGAGTGCAATCCAGACTGCTCTGCTCTCCACCAAGCTTCAGACTGCAATCTCAGACTGCTATGTTTTCCTCGATGTGGTTAGAGACTTAATTCTCATGAGACCCTTGTTTATTCCTTTTAAACCTCTCAAATCCTGGGATTAAAGGTGTGTACTGCCACCACCTGGCCTCTAAGGCTAGCTAGAGTGGCTGCTGGGAAAGGTGTGCATCACCACTGCCTACGTGACTCTACGGCTGTGATTGGCTTTACATTTTGATCCCCAGTGGCTTTATTAAATCATAAACAATATACCACCACACTAAGTGCTATCCAAAATAACAGCAGGTATTGATTTCTAGAATTTGGGGCTTTAGTCTCCAAGAAACAGCAACTCAGAGATAGAAGATAAGCCCTTATTGATGAAGACCCCCCTCCCCCTTGTACTTGAGACACAGGGCCAGGAGGCTTTTGAGCTAGAACTAACCTGAAAGTCTGCTCTTTGAAAATTAGCTTTCATGATACCATGACAGCTTCCAAGGAGGGATGGGACTAACAGTTCTACCTATACATGACACCTGTGAACTACAACAACGACAAACATGACATGTTAATTCTGAGGGTGCAGGGTTGGTACACAAGGATTGCTGGTAACTAACAAATGATTGGACTTAAGATCCTCTCAACAAGAAGGAAATCATGCCTGGTACTGGAAACCTAGCCAAGTATACGGAACTAGTGAATGAATATTGGAGAAGAACCTACTAATTCCACATTACTAAACCAGCACAAGCCCTAACTATATTATAAATATTTATCATTATATGCAAAGATGAGTATAGTCTTCACCCCTGATCAAGGAAATCTCCCTTTTTAACAGATGGAGTCCATTATAGAAAATCACAACCGATCAAAATGCAGAGTTGTAGGCCCCAGTTCCAACTGATTCAACTTCTGCACCTAAGGCTTGGGAATCATTGCAGAAGAGGAGGTAGAAAGATTGTCAGAGCCAGAGGGACAGAGTGTTTGCTGAGATTGTGTCTCCTAGAAATGTCAGAAGCGCAACCATAAAGTCTCAATATTGCTCTCTTAACAAGACCTGAACAAGGGTGACACCAACAGATATGCTAATATGGTTGACAGAAAGTTCATGAGATACACACATGTGCAGGCACATACACATACACAACACACACAACACACATACCACACACACACACACACACACACACCACATATATACACACATACAACCACCACCACCAACAACACTCTAATCAACTAAACCAATAAATGGGCTAATGAGGTGAACAGACAGTTCTTAAAAAAAAAAAAGGTGATATATAAATGACCAATAAATATATGAAAAAATGTTCAATATCCCTAGCTACCATGGAAATGCAAATTAAGACTACACTAAGATTTTATGTTACCGTATTCATAAATTATCATAAAGAAAAAATAACAGGAAATGATGGTATGAATTTGGGAGAGAGAGGGAGCAAATGTTAGTGGGAATATAAGTTTGTATAGCAATCAATATGGGTATTCCTTAAAAAAACTTGAAGATGAAACTACTGTTTGACCCATATATATCATTTCTAGGTATATATACAAAGGACGAGTAAACATCAAGGCTCTTGTTGGTTTATGGATGACAATCTTCTCACTGTGTCATGTTCTGCCTAGGGTGTACATCTTTGTCTCCTCTCCTCTTCTTAAAGGACATTAGTCATGTTGGATTAGTGCCCCACACTATAACCCCACCTAAAGTTAGTTGCCTCTTTACAGATCCTATCTGTAGTTGCATAGTCACACTCTAAGATTCTAGGAGTTAGTACATGGTTCTTCTGGGACAGTGTTCAGTGGGGATATGTCAGCCCCTAACACCAATCCTTAAGAACTTGATATTACCAAACATGGGATAATGTTCTGTTCTTCTCGTTGGCCCTTGACTGAAATCACCAAAGTGAGTCAGAGTAAGTCACAGAATGATCCAGACATGTAAGAAGAGGGTTTGGCATCAAGTAAATGAAAGGCATTATCATCCAACCAAGGTTCAATGTTTAAATTATGTTTATTTTTGCCAATGCAAAATACAATAAAGCCACTTAAAAAACAACCATCTCATCATTGTGTAACATAACTCTTCAGTGAACAGAAGCCCTACTGTTAGTGTTTTGACCTTTTCAAGGTCCTGCCTTGGGTCAAAACAGTATTTAGAGAAAGAACAAATTCTTCCTACTACACACATGAAAGAGACTTCTATTTTCTAAAATCTCATTTCAGCAATAACACAAAAACAGCACAAACAGCCCCGTGTAGTGGTGGCAGCGCTGCCGTATTACTGGGAGTGTATCTGCAGGTTGCTCCAGACTCCAAGGTCTTGGACCATTCAGGGATCCAAGGAAAATCATTAGGATTTTTCTTTTAAATTTAGCTGTGTACTCCCTAACTGACTGATTTACCTGAGTTATTTCAAAAGCGAAAAAGAAAGACTCCAGACAATCAAAACGTACATAGATGTTTCTGGGAGGAGCTAGGGAGCTTGGAGACCAAGTGACAGTTCACTGGACAATCACGAAGCCTCCATTAATATGAAGCTGTTCACCCAGGGAATGGCTTCACAGGACTATCCAGTCAAAGCCACACACGCTGCACAAAAATACAGCAACTGGCCTGCATTCCAGGGACCTAAGTGTTGTTTGTTTCGTGCCATTGCACTTTCAAACTAAGATAGTTATACTATAACTAACACAATCCTTCTATCATTTTACTGACAAAAGAGTCACATGCAAAGGGCGTGGAGTTAGAAGATGCAGAGTCTGTCCCCAGCTCTTGCGCCTATCCTTTCGGCTTCTCTGTGGAGATCCAGTGAGAGGAAAGTTCTTCATAATGCAGCAGTAACCATAAGAAATGAAATTCTCCAGAGATGTTCTCTCCAATCTCTACTGGATTGCTGATTGCCGGTGCAGATTTTGTAAGTGGTTTTACTTGTTAGAACAAGTGGGTGACACATCCATTCCATGAACCCAGGCTGTGAATGCTTGGTTGTGCAGATGGGATAACAATGTCCTGCAGGAAACCCAGACTCCTTGAGGGACTCCTGCAGTCTTGACACACTTGATGGAAAGCCATGTGACCTTTTATTCTATTACCCCAGGTTCTGTTTATATTCCTGAAACTCTTTTTGATAAGCTAACAACTTGTTTGTATATATGACTTGTAAGTATAACATCTAAGACAATTGCTAACATTTAGAACTGTATTCTTTCTGCTGATGGGAAACCAGAATGTCATGTCCCATACTTAAAAAAAAAATCACCTAGCATGATGTAGCATGCCTTTAATCCCAGCACAGGCAGGTAGATCTTTGTGAGTTCAAGGCCAGCCTGGGCAGTTTCAGAACAGCCAGGACTTTTTAGAGAGACCCTGTCTCAAAAAACCAAAACCCCAAACAAACAAACAAGCAAATAATCCTTCAGGAAATGGGAGATTTTTCTGTAAATTTAGAAAAAGCAACAATAAAAGCATAAGAACTCCATGACTTTGCGGAGACAAAGACTTTAGGTAGCTGCATTCAGAAAGCAAGTGAGATTCTAATTCTGAACATTTTTCAAATGCAAATCAAGTCCTCATGAATCATTTTGATGATTTTTTTTTTTTGATGCATCAATGAAATGGAGTTCATACTCTTTATGTGATCTCGAGTTCACCTCTTTGCTTAGGATATTCTCTTGAATATTTTGAACCTGCCAATAGGGTCTCACTCTTCGTGCTGAGAAGGACTGATCTCCAATGATCTATTATTATCTTAAGTCAACCTGTTTTTGAAGCAACAAAGAAAGTCAAATCAAACAGTGCATTAACCTTTAACGGTAGTGAGGTTGACTTTCTCTAGCTGAAGTAGATCTGCCTACCCATCTGTGGAAAAGCCTGCCTTGTGCTTTTCCCTGTGTTTGTAGGTCACATTCTTAAAAGTGCTGGTGGAGCCTCTGTACAGTGGATTCGTTCCCTGAAGGACAGGAGGGAAAAGGTACAAAGAAAAGGAAATACATTTTGTTATTATACCACTTTAACATCTTCAAAGGTTTGCATTGTAGTTCAAAAATTGGAGAGTAAAGCTCAATCTTGGAAGCTATTTGAATAATTTTGATAAATTTTACATTTTACCCATCTTTATTTCACTTTTTGTGTGGTGCATCCATATGTACACTTCTAAAATTACTCTTCTTTATTTCATTGTTCTTAATGACTTAGCAGAGGGGCATTCACATGCCAGTGCACCTGTGGAGGTCAGAGGGTACCTTGGAAGCCAGTTCTCACCTTCCCTGAGTTCAGCAGGCTTAGGCACAAAGCTCCATTACCCTTGGAGCCATTCTCCCTGGCTCTCTTCCTTAGGCTTTGAAACAGAGCCTCTCACTTAACCAGTAGTTCATTGGCTAGACTGACTGACTAGTAATCTCCAGGGCTCTTTGTGGAAGTAGTACCCACACAGTTATAGTGACCCCACTGTGAAAAAGCCCAATACACTCAGTGGTCCTCCAGAATAAACATTGATGGAATTGTGCCTGGTTTACCACAGGACTTTAGGAGGAAGGGTAGACATAGTTTACAACTTCCCAGGGGAAGGAACTTTATCTACAACTTGACAAAACAAAATTGTATTTGTTATCAGAAGAACTAAGGGAAACAAAAACATCTCGTGACCTCACTTCCCTTGCCCTTGGATTCCCAGTAGCACCTCCTCTGCATGAGAACTGCTTCTGTATGGCTTCAAGACAGTGTCAAAACCTTTGACCAAGTGCCATGTTGCCTTTGGTCATATGACTTCAGAGAGACAGAGGCCATCTCTGCACTGAGGGTAGATAGAAGTAGTTCTTTGGCTACAGTCCATGGTGGGTATAAGCCAGGTTGCTGTATTGTCTCTACTCCTAAAATCAGCCTGGAGAGTTAATCCAGCTACCATTAGCATTAAGAGCTTTGAAAGATTAAGACTAACTAAAGTCGTCTCAGGTACTTATGGAGTCTCATTTGCAATAAAACTCATAAGAAGTTTTATGAAGTTTAAGGACTAGAAATTACTTGATAAAGCAGTCAATTTAAGAGACAAGATTGGAAAACATGAAATGCAGGTGGGGATAATGGCTGAAGCCTAGGCTGAAGAGAGGGAGCAGAGAGGGACTAGGAAAAATAAATTGGCTAGCATCAGGCTGGCTTAGGTTTTTGTAGGACTTGGTACTTGTTTGTAGGTCCCACCCCATATCTGCCAATCATAATAAAATGCACCTACTTCCCACATGAAATAGAATTTGTGTGTGTGTGTGTGTGTGTGTGTGTGTGTGTGTGTGTGTGTGTGCTAGTGTGCTATACATGTGTATGCAGGTATGCTTGCTTGTGTGTTGCATGTGTATAGGAGGCAAGAGGTCAATGCTGTGTGTCTTTTTCTATTGCCCCACCCCCCTTAAGATAACCTCTCAGTGTTGTGGAGTTCACCATTTTGGCTAGACTGGTTGGCCAGTGAGCCCCAGGATCTGCCTGTTTCTAGTCCTTCCAGCATCAGGGTTTCAGATTTGAGTTAGTGAGTCTGGCTTAACATGGGTGTTGGGAATATGAACTTGGGTCTACTTGCTTGCAAGCTTTACTCACTGAGCCAACTCTGCAACCACACAAAACAGATTTTATAGTACTCTAAAGGGGATGACTCAAGTTTCCAGAGACAGGGCAACATAATGTTATTTTGTAAATAATTAATCATTTACTTTTATGCAGTTTTCATTTCTTTTTAAACTACTTCATTTACACAGGTCTGGAATAGTTCAGGGGCCCCTTGTGTGGGGTCAGTGGACTAAGATTCCACCATAGTAGGAAGGTAAGGAACATATGTAAACTGGAGAAGGAAAAGTTCACACTGATACTGAGGTATGTTCTGCCCTCAGATGGTGATCAGAGTTCAAGAGAGCATGCTAGGGTTGGGTTTTGTGAGGAGGTATGGAAATGACCAGTGCCATATTCATTATTCACCTCCCATTGTGGGATGTCCAGTTGAGACTTGGGCTTCAGGCCTGATCTAGAGTGGGTGAGTGTCCACTTTTAGACAAGGCCAGTTCTTTCTAAGTATGTAAGGAGACCAGGTGTATTTTCTCCAGAATATCGAGGCCCTGACCTAAACCTGGATTCTGGAAAGCCAGTGGTACCTTTTTCAGGCTTGAATAAAAGCAATAACAGAAAGCTCTGTCATGGCTCACAGCTTCCTTAATGACTACCTAACTGCCAACTGCAGACCAGATTTGCTTAGAACAGAACAAAATCAACCCATGGCTCCAAGAAATGTCAGGCTAAACATATTTATTTTTCCCTACAAGTTAATGACTTGTCAGCCAAGAGAAAAAAAATGTCTAATCAAAGATGAATTTAAATATTTTCCATTTGTATTTTCAGAGGAAAAATGCTGAGGGTTTTTTTTTTTTTTTTTTTTTTGGTAATAAAAGGTAACCTTTATAGTCCTGACAAAATATTTCAGGAGGTAAGAGCAAAGATTTGTCTTCAGCTCTGTCCCCTTAAGAGTCTAAGGAGCCTGGTGACCTTATTGTTTCTTCTGTCCCTGGGTTTTAAAGATCAGTTAAGTTCACCCCTTGAGAAGAAATAGGTTTTAGACTGAAAACTGAATTAAATTGAAGACCTTTAAATGTATGTGCCAAGCATACATTTGTCCCAGGAGGAGGATGTGTTAGTGAAATTTGGACTGAATATTGAATGGAACCTCTTTTGCATGCAAATGAATAATTATTACCTGGTCATCATCTAGCCAGGAACATCAAACATTTGTTATTCAAAGAAAGCCAATTTAACAGGGAATAATATTTTCCATTTATGCTTGTATCTGTTTAATGTGTGGTTTTGTCCCATTTTAGATGAAGAAACAGCTAAATTTTGGCATTTGAATTTCAGTCATGTTTAGCTTCCTAAGGGAGAACAATTCATGTTTTTGGGGAAATTAACTGTTAATTAAAACGTATTCTAAAGATATTAATCATTTGTCAGCACTCATGACTGCATCTGAGAACATTAAAATATGCTGGTTAGTAGACACACATCACAAAATAGCCAAGTGTTTGCTTGTAGTCTCAGAATACCTGCTTGTTATTTTCAGAAGCTCTGAGCAAAGACTGTTCTTAGAATAAATTAATGATAGGGGCTCAACTCTACCTGTACCAAAACTTTGGGGAGCCCCTGAACTTTTGTCTGAATTATTTAAAACCCAACACTAGCCTTCATTTCTCTTTACTTATATATACTTCAGTTTGCTTCACTAGAGGCTACAGATTATGCATTCAGTATGTCACCATGGCTTGGTTAAATCTGATCAAATTCAACATATATACTTACCATCATTCTAGTGTCCAGCCTTTTCTAGGTGCTTTAAAAATATAATCTTAGAGATAGACTCCCAAGTCAGGACTCTTCCTGGTCCAAAGATGGCATTGTTTTTTTTTTTTTATATATAACTAAAGCATTTTTGTTCAAAAAATATAAGGTAGATTAAATTTTTATTAGCCTTTTCCTGTGATGTACATTATGATTAGTTTGAAATCATTCCCCTAAATATAAACATTCATTATCAAAAATAGAAAATTCCATTTGCTTTCAGAACTGAGGATGTTGCTATAGGCTTAGGGAAAATAGTGTTAACATCAATTTATTTAGGCAGATGAACCCAAAGGCACATTGTGTTTGCCTGTGTTTTCTCTAGTGAGTTTGTTGTTTTTGGAATCAGTGGTGTAAGATAATTGCTATTAGATAGCTAGACACACCATTAGAGATTGAGAGATGAAATTAAAACCATGAAATTGTTTCCAGGGGTCTCTAGAAATGTAATTATCTCTTCTGAAAATTGTAGTCCTGTTTTCTGTTTGCCTATTGAGGAGACATTTAAATCATATCATTGAATACATATATTTAAAGGTTTATTTCATGTAGCTGCTTAAACTTTATGTTATTCAGGAAAAAAATGCCTGGTATTTAAAGAGGCCTGTCAACGTTGCTTTGTTACCCATTATATCAGCAACAAGTATTTCCATGGAAATTGGCATACACTGTCACACTCTCCATGAACATAAGCTAGAATACGATTTACAGAAATGTTTAGATATAGAACCTATGCTTTAGTTAATGAGGTTGCCTCCACAACAGCCCTGAGTCACCATAGCAGGAGTGTCATGAGCCTCTCCAGGTGTTACAAGGCCATCACACTGAGACACTGGGTGTCATGAGGACAACCTAGCACCAGACAATGGATTCTTCTGCTCTCTAAGCAAGATAGAAGTGAAAGCCACTGGGGCTACCTGCAGAGTAGTCATATAAGTGACATCTGAAGTCACTTTCTACAGGGCATGGCTAAATCCCCAATCATTTCCACCAGCTCTCCAGAGTTCACATACCGTTTGCCACTTGGCCTTTGATCGTTCTGCTTCAAATTTAGCAACTTCTTTCCGATCATGAAATGATACCAGCAGCTTCCAAATGCACAGCAGGACGACTCCGATGAGCAGGATGGCCAGTGACACTCCCAACATGATCATTGGGATGTTTGGAGGTTTGGGGCAGTCTGTGGGAACAGATGAAGTCATCTTTAGAAGCTGAGACAATTAGTGTTTCATTGTAAGGAGGATTCGCCACTCCCACTTCAATGCGGGGACTGAACCAGAGCACTGAACATAGTGTACGATTCCTCTCCTAAGCTGTATTCCCATCTAATGGTTTGGAAAGATCTTTCTCATTGGGTTTACCAGTCACATGTTTTCAACAGGAGAGTAGAAATAGTGATACTTTCTTGTCCTGTTGAATTTTTTTCCCTAAACCTGAGCTATTTGTTTAAAGATAGGTTTATTCTCAGTGGAATAAAAGATTCAAAACAATTCAAACATTAATTTATAACCAGCCTTCTATATCCCTGGTTTTGCATGCACAGATTCAACAAACTATGGATTGAAAATATCCCTTTAGGTCAAGACCAGGCTGGAGAAACCCGTAGAAATTGCTGACCTGAACAAGGGGGAGTTCATAGACCCCAGTCTGATAGCTGGAAAACCAGCATAGGAGCTTCCCAGATTTCCTGAATGTGGGTGTTAGTTACGAGGACTGGGCAGTCTATAGGGCCTCTGGTAGTGGATCAGTATTTATCCCTAGTATACAAATGGACTTAGGTGCCCATTCCACATAGAGGGATACTCCCTCAGCCTAGACACATGGGGGAGGGCATAAGCTCTGCTCCAAATGATATGACAGATTTTGAAGATCTCCATGGAAGGCCTCACCTACCCTGAGGAGCAGAAAAGGGTTGGGATGGGGTTATTGAGGGAAACAGGGGAGAAGGAGAGGGAGAGGGAACTGGGATTGACATGTAAAACAAGCTTGTTTCAAATCTAAATTAAAAATTTATCAAATAAAGAAACTATTCCTTAATTGAGCATGCCCAGTCTTTCCCCTTGCTGTTGCTTTCTAAATGGCAAGCATAATATGTATTTAAATAGCAGTCATATTGTATTGGGTTTCATCTCCCTCCCTTTCTTCCTTCCTTCTTTTTTTCTTCCTTCCTTCCTTCCTTCCCTTGTTTCTTCTCTTGCATCCCAGGCTATGCACTCCTGAACCTCCTGACTTTACCTCCCCAGTGCTGAGATTACAGGTGTTTTATTTTATATCTGGTTTTATACAGTGCTGGGGATTGAACACGGGGATTAATATGTGTTAGGCAAGCACTCTACAAATTGAACTACATCTCAATGCCTGCATCACTTTTTGTAAATAACCTATAAGTGATTGCAAGTATATAGGAAGATGTGTGTAAATCCTATGCAAGTATAAAGGCCTTCAGTATTCACAGGTTTTAGTATCTGGACCCAATCTCTTGCAGATACACAGAGATGACTTGATCAGACAGTTGACTTTAAAATTTTAATACAGCACAGTGACAATTTTGTCAAGGATTTCCTTGAATCATGAACCATCTCAGGATTATATTAAAGATTATTAATCCAGCCTGGTTACTCATTTCTGTGATCCCAGAGCTCAGGAGGCAGATACAGAACATGTTGGAGGCCAACTTGAGGTCCACAGTGAGACAGTGTCTCACAAACTAAGGGCTGGGAGTGTGGAATACTTGCTTAGTTAGCATGTGCAAGGGTTCAGGCGCCATCTTCATAACAAAAAAGATTGCCCTTTACTAAAGACTCCTGTAAAGACAGAAGCTTTCTGTTTTATCCAATGCTCTGATTTCCTGACTGTTCCTTCACTAGAAGAGGGCAAGTTCAATTCTCATCTGATGTACATTAGTTGTATGGATCCCATCACTGAGTCCCTTGGCCTCATCTGTGAAATAAAGCACAATACTCCCTCGATTTCCCTGTGACAGCAACATGCTGAGGTGATCTTGTTTATCAAAGCCACAGCCTTCTAGACCCCGCACCAAGATATTGTTTCAGTGGGTCTTGGGTAATACTACAGGATATATTACTAAAGGTACCTAAATCTCTCTTATGACCAGGAAGTGAAGGGGATCAGATATTCTCAACTTTAAGATTCCATGAAATGTTATTTGGGCTCTATTGACAATTACATGCACCTTCCTCCGTTGCCAGTGAGATGACTGATCACCCTTGCAATGTGCTCTTAACGGAGCATTGTAATTAATAAATACCTTCTTTGCTTTCCTGGGAAGAATTTCCACATCAAATGATCACTAAATATCTGCATCCCTCCACAAGAAGTGAGGCAATACCCAACTTTATCTGGGGGAGAAATGAACCAGGCTATTCTCCATAATGCTACTCTTAGATAGTTAAAAATGGAGAGTTGAACACTGAGGACTGATCATGAGCTTTGCAGACCTGAATCTGAATGATCCCCCTAGCAGCATGATGCCTGGTTTCATACACTTTTAGGTGTGGAAAACCACGTAAGTACATTATGAAGAAACAAGCAGAATATAATGGCCTATTTACTATAGTACCGAGAGCTAAAGGCTGTGTTGCAGCCAGCAAATGAAGCATGGCTGTGTCCCTGAGAAAATATACCAATCCAGCTTTATCTTTGGCTAAGAAATGTCTGGGCAGGAACATAATACTGTCCTGTTCACAGCTGGAAAGCGAACAGGAGGATGCTGAAGTAGGGACTCCCTGAGGAAAAGGTGTGGCTTGGAAGAGACAGTTTTTTAAGAATGCAGGGTCCTGCGATACTGTGAATTTCTCAAGAAAATATTTTAGCTCAAGTTCCAAGGCAGATATCACAGCACAGATTTTAGCCCTCTCTTTCCATGCTCTTTATGATACTCCTGTGCTTAGACTGAAGCGAGCAGCCCCCTGGAAGAAGAGGGTCAGCTCTACTCCTGTGTGTGATACTGCCCGTCAAGTTGAGTCACTGCTGTACCTAATGTTGAGGTCTTGAAATCGGAGTGCTTAGCTCTGGCTAAGCTGGTGGCTATACCATATGTGACAGTTGGGCACTGGAAATGTGACATAATCAGGTTGTAGTATAAGTATTAAACAGTTACCTCACAGTCTAAGCACGAAAAAGAAAAATGTAAAACTTTAATGATCTTTTTGTTGATGTCATGTTGAAATGAGAATATTTTAGATACGATGGCAAAGAAAACTAACTTCACCTTTTTTGACTTTTTAACATGGTTTGTAAAAAACATTACATTTTATACAGAGTTTGCATAGCAGTGTTATTGGACAATGCTAACAACATCCTTTAGATTCAGATATTTATTACAGGTGTGTGTGTCCAGTGGGAGGCAGTATAGTGCAGTGGGTAAAAGCCTGGGCCCCAACCAGGCTGTTGGATTTCCTCAGGCAAGCAGTTCTGGGATTAATTATTGCAAGACCTAACAATGTTGTTGTTTTCATGCCTCAGTTTCCCCACCTGTAGGACAAAAATAATACCAGTACCTGCTTTATAGGGTTGTTGAAGATACTGAGTGAATCAGCACATAGGAAACATGAGGAGTGGCATGTGTTTTAGTAAAGCAGCATGCACAAAGGGACTGCGACAACAGATGCCTTCCTCTCACCTGTCTGTCTCCCAGAAGGCAAGGGCCTGGATTGCCTATGTGTGATTGACAGATGTCGCACCTGCAGTGCTTGGCTTTGTCAAGCAAAGAAGGCTCTGCTGTCATTTTTTGGTTGTGAGCCTAGCCTTAATGGCTGAGCCATCTCTCCAGCCCTGTGGCTATCATTTTTTTTTTTTTTTAAATATCTGGCATGACCTATAGGCTCTGACATTTGTCCCAATGGTTCTCAACCCATTGGTCATAACCCCTTTAGGGGGTCCAACAACAGCAAAGGTGCAGTTATGAATTAGTAACAAAATAGTTTTATAGTTGGGGAGGGGGTCACCACAGCATGAGGAACTGTAGTAAAGGGTACAGCATTAGGAAGGGTGAGAACCATTGTTCTACCCAGCTATAGAAGGTGATGCTGTGCTGTGCCTACATCCTCAAGCAACATCGAGCATGCTGGACCAGCTCCCTTTTCAATTTGCTTAGAGGACACTAGGAGACATTAACCTCTTCTGCCTGCTTTTGTTTTTTTGCCTTCTCTCTTATCCCAGTTTGTAATTTCAGAGCCACAGGTTTCAGTTTAGGGAGGAAGGAACTCTTGACTCCTGGGGGAAGGCTACAGCCTCAGGGCTTCTAGAAGCAGGCCTGCCCAGGAATGGGGCATTTGAGATATCCTTGGGCCTGGCAGTAGATCTTGTGAAATCTCAGGGAGATTGCTTTTCCTTCCCTTCCCTTTACTCTGAAAGAACAGGGATAAATAAGACACCGTGAAAGAAAGGCACTCGGACATCTGTGAGTGCTCTGAAGGACAGCATGTTAGTGCGTTTCTCATACTGTGTACAAGAATAAAACAGCAGACAGTAACAAGACAGTGTTTATCAGCTGAAGGTATGTTCCATGAATAGAGGGGGGGGGGGGAAAGAAAAGGACAAAAAGAAAATTAAGTCATTTAGGCACAGAAGCCTGCACACGGAAACTTGCTTTGTTGTTTGGGGTGTGGTTTTCCAATAGGACCAGCATGTTAAGGGGTGGTTTTGATTTCAGGGTAATGAGCTAAAGTCAGTACCACAATTACAAATGCAGTGATGGGGTTCAGCCAGGAGACCTGGCTGTATAAAGCTTGTAATGAGGAGATGGGGTCTGTTTTCTATATTAGGGAATAATTTGGTTTCGCACAGTGTGACCCACATTGTTTGCTTAACTGAAGATGGGAGGATGCATTTTGTGTTCAGATTTCTCAGAAATACGTACAGGGAATTTCTAATTGCCTGTTGCTGGGAGCACACTGCCCTCGCAAGCATCAGAAGCATGCTCACAGTCATCCCTCCACGTTTCCATCTGTGCCTGACCTCCAGCTACATCTTGCCCTTGGCACAGTAATGTCACCTTTCTCTGACCATTTTCTTGATTGCAACATGAGGTTTAAACCTACTTTTCAGGTATTTGCTATCACCTTTTCAACTCCTGGGGTGATACTAATTTGATAGCTTTGGTTTCAAATTGCAGGACTTAACATTCTCTCAGCACATTGAAAAACAAGCACACACCAAAACCCATCTGCTTTATACCCTATGTGTGCTGCTGCTGTCTGGACCAGACCTTAGGCTCCAAACCCAAGCCTGATGAGGTCAGATTTAACAAAGCTGTCATTTCTCTGGGACATTTTGAAAGCTTCTTAAAGATATGTTCTCTACTGCTTTCCTTTGTATATAATATAAACTTGTCTTTTCCCTTGGCTGGAGATGAAATTTCTACCTGAGTGTCCCTACATTAGAAACTGATTTCCATGTGTCAGCATGGCTGAAAATTGACAGAAACACAGAAATCATGGGCTGTTGGATGCTCTGTTCTGGATCACTCAGTCGAGGTTGCCTCAACTCAAAGTAATCATTCTGCCTCATTCTCCTGAATACTGGGATTGTAGATGTATGATGGCTGACCTGACACCTTGACATTTTCTGTAGCCACACCCTTATCTGTTGCCTTGTGTCTTTCCTGATCCAACAGTATCACTTAATGAACCATTGCACTGAGGCCTCTTTTGGAGCATATATTACATCCATTGCTCCTCTCATTCCTTGAGTTAAGTCTTAAAAAGATTGTGCTATTATTTTTTCCCATTTTGCAGATGAGGAAGTAGAGGTCTGGAGAGGCAAGTAGATCCCACAATAAGGCAGCAATTGCACAACAAAAATAGTTTGTTGAAGCACTGCTTATACTTGGCTTTAAAATCTGTTGTATTCCTTCCTGCTAGTTTTTCTGGAAAAACAAATCTGTTGCTATATTTTGTCTTCTTCAGTCTGCCTTTCTACAGTGCCAGCAGCCAGCTGTCAAGGAGGTGATGCCTGGTACAATGAAAGTCATCACATTACCTAATCTTAATAAAAGACATGGGAATACCACAAAGACTTTGAGAAGGATCTTTCACGCCAAACTTTGAAATGTCTTTCCTGGCAAGCTACCTGCAGTGACTGTCTGGATCTCCTTCTACGTGGTGGTAACACTAGACACCGACAACAACAATGGAACACAAGGTACCCACCTTTTTCACTGATGTTGTGGATGATGGTTTTCCCCTCATTGTCTGTGGTTATTAGGAATGTAATAAGACATTCATTTTCTCCTTGTAGAGAGCAGGAAACAGAAGTATCCTTTGAAAAATCTGTAGATGAAAGAGTCATTCATTAGGGTAAATGAGATTTCAAATTAGATAATTTTTAAAGCAAAGCAGTATTGAGTTTTTCAATATGCAAATTAGGATTTTCAGTATCATCGAATGGAAATTAAAAGGCATAGGATTTCTGTTCCCCTCCTCCCCAAGTGAGAACTTCAGTTTTACTTACGTTCCAGAAGAACAGCCCCAGATGTGGTCAATCAGGACTGACCATCAAAACTACCTATCGATCTGATGGAGGCAGATTTCAGTGAAGTGAATGCAGCACAGGGCAGGTGCCCACAGCTGCCTGGGGAATAGAATGGCCATGATTATAGTAATGAGGGGGCTGTGCATCCCTCTCTGCTTAAAGCATCTGGGAGAATGGCTAGATTACACTGCCGCTTGGTGCAGATGGACCCGGATCGTAGTAGAGAGGGCTTCTCACAGTGGTACAGCCAGGGTTGCTGGCTTTGTACTGTCATGTGGTGAGAATAAAATAATATCAGGAAACTGAGACAGAGGTGTTATGTGCCTCAGAGACCCGCAGGATAAAGGGGAGCTTCAGGTTTAAAGGAACCCAGGGTAACAGTTGTCCAACATGCAGTATATCTTCTTTCTTAATAAGAAAGCAAGCTTTTCCTCAAATCTATCCTAAATGGAATGTTTTTTCCTTGCAAAGCGTATTCAAGAGTTAGAAAATGAATTTCATGATAATAATTAGTAATAAAATTTTATTTGTGGTATTAAAAATTTAAAACTCTTAGCTCACACATCAAATATTCTGATGGCTCAGCTACTCTGCCGAGTTTATCGAACGTTTTCTGAACTAAACCAAAACAGATTAGTTTTACAATTCTTTTTCTAATTTGGAAAAGTTTTGGAGAGACTATTATAGTTTCTTCAGAAGCCTGTAATTAAAATAACATTTATGCTGAATTTAAACTTCTAAGACATATGCTCCAATATTAGTGTGCAAAGACAGATTATGAAAACCAAATTGTCCCAGGTGATCTTGGGCCACTCATCTTGAGTATGACTTTTCAATTAGTTTAAGAATGTTTTTTCTTTTTTTCAAGACAGGTTTTTTCTGTATATCCTTGGCTGTCCTAGAACTTTCTCTGTAGAGCAGGCTGGATCTGTCTGCCTCTGCCTGCTGAGTATTGCGATTAAAAATGTGTGACACTACCATCCAGCAGCTTAAGAAAATTTTAAAGGTGTAAATAGAATTTATTTTGTGTGTGTGTTTAAGAAGTTTTTAAAGGTATTAATAGAATCCGTGTGTGTGTGTGTGTGTGTGTGTGTGTGTGTGTGTGTGTGTATGTGTGTGTGTGTGTTCTTAGAACACATAACACCTCTGTCTCAGTTTCCTGATATTAATTTATTATCACCACGTGACAATACAAAGCAGCAACCCTGGCTGTACCACTGTGAGAAGCCCTCTCTATTACGATCCAGGTCCATCTTAGAATAAATAGCCTATTTAAGGATATTTAGAGCACAGAAATGCTAGTTATAAAATATAGAAATATTAAGTTTTCATAGTTTGCTGTCTTTGCATTTAATTTTTAAGAGAAAAACATGATAGGACCTGTGACTAATAAGCCTTTTAATCATTCATGACAACAGCAACCAGTAAATAATAGATTCAGCATTCTAAATGAAATTTTGTACAACAGATTTACGTGAACTAAACTGGTTTTGAACTCATTAGAGCCTCCTTTTTATGGATGCATGAATATAAAGAAATTTAGTGCAAATAATCCATATGCATACAACCATCTGACTCACCTGGGTCTGGGGACCCTGCCCCAGTGTTCCAATGGGAGAAACTGATGTGCACAGAACCTGGGCATTAGGTGCCTCTTAGACTTATTAAAGTAAGTATTTTAACAAGATGTCTTGGATGAAGAGAGTTGGAAAGCTCTTGGCAACTATGGATGAGCATGGCCTGTGTTATTTCATGTGTTTGATGGTAAATAGCAGGTACCCTCACTGAGTTCATAGTTTGGTCCTTTTTATATGGCCTTTTCCTCACCACTGACTAAATTACACTCTAAAAACTAAGATCCTGAAGTCTTGGGGAGTGTGCTTTTGCATTTTGAAGTCTTCTCTTTCAGTCTCTGCCACAGCAGTGGCACTTAATGGGACATCAGGCTTGCAGGTTGATCTATGTGGCTGGTTCAGCATCCTCATGTCTGTAATATTAATCCTGACTCTTTGTTTCCTTTTAAATAGCACACTGAAGCATTGGGAGGATTATTTAGGTTTTAATGGAACTTCAGGTCTGGCCTTTGATACACAGCTCCCCTCTTGTGCTTTAATTAACCCCACCATTCCTTTTCTCGACTCTCCCAGGCTAGATGTGCCCTGTTTTGTAGTGTTTGGGTGTTGAAATAGTACTATCAGACATGCCATGAAAGATTTGCATAATTAGCTGCTAAGGTTTTCTTTTGTTGTTCATAGAAAATGGCCCTTTCTTTCTCTCTCTTTTTTTCTTTGTGAGACCAGAATTACTGCTACTGAATAATACAGGGAAAATAAGATCTCAGACAGCCAGGGAAGTCATGCTTAGTGAAGGAAGACGTGTAAGTGGGGATGGAGGGTGGAGGGGGTGGAAAGATGGTCCAGGAAGAATGTAGAAAATAGTATGTCTGTGCTGTTGAGTCCTAACCCTGTGTTTTAAGACATCAGCTCTGGGAACAGTTATTATTTCTGCCAGTAAGCAGTTTCCCAAAGGTGGTGGCAATGTGTGTCAGGGAAGGAGTGGTTCTATATTGAGATACATTTTGGAATCTCTCTTTTACCTTAGCGCCTCTCTTGCCTTTCCTGGAGACTCACACCTGTATTTAATTCAGTGAGCATAAAGATTCTAAAGACTTGCCAAGGTCTGGATCCTTAGTTTCCCCGTTTCGAATGTGTATGACTGACTGTGGATACACTTCTAAAATGTATATGACTATGGGTGCCTTATTTTCTTGAACTTTTCAGAGATTGTGTTTGTGGGAACAAACTTTGAGTAACAATGGTCTGAGTGTCTGAATAGTGGGGTAAATTAAGAAGCACAGCTCTTTCAGTCAAAGGGAATGAATAATGTTTGATGTGCCTGCCCCACGCGCCCACACACAACGGGTAAATTCATATGAGTTATGCGGTATGTATGTTTACTCCATGTCCCCAGCAGAGGAATATAGGTGCTAAGAGACCCTTAGACAAACACATGTGATGTCATCCTTTCAAAATAGTGTGAGAATGACATCAGTGGGCTAGAAAGTCAAAACAGGATTTATAAGGAGGCTGTTGGAAAGGTGTTTTTTAAACTCAGTTGACCAGATCTCATGTTCACTCAAGTTTGTCAGGATTAGTGCCTGGAGTGGGTTAACCATCCACTGCTTGTTTTCGTTTTCCAAGTTAGAAATAGCAGTATCCTTCTGTCTTACAGATACTGTGGTCAAACACAAAAGAACGTAAGTATTCTAAAAGCTGCGTAAGCTAGGCTTCCTCCCCAAGCCAGGCATCTTTGCTCATCTACTCTGAAAACTGTGAACTTAGACACAGGGACTGCCCTGTTCACACTTCTGTGGCTGACACGCTGCTGCTTTACTCCTTTTCAGCACATTGCACTTCCCATGCTGCTGGTGAATTGACTTCTAGTCATTTGCAGGCATTTTCTGCAATTTTTGCTCATTTCCCGAGACAGCTGGTAAGTACCCCACTGCTGTGAAATGAGCCTGGAGGATACACTAAGATGCGTACCAGTTACTGATGTGGACACTCTACAAATGCTGCTCTTGCTCAGTGCTTTTATGTGTTTCACCTTTGGTCTCAGACAAAGCACACAACATCTCATTCCATTTGCTGCTGTTTGGCATATTTATCTTTGGTCATCAGAAAAGCACAGATGAGGGGTTTTACGGGCACTCAACATGTCCTGCCACACCCAGTAACTCAACTGTAGCATCACTACAATTTTGAAACAAGTACTTAAAAAAAAATTCTTTATATATTCTATTTTGTAAATGCATTAATTTCTATTTTCTAACTCCATCTATTCAATATATGTATCCTACGGGCCATATGTTATCCTGTGACCATTCCTCTTCGCCTGAGTTACATCTCAGCCAGACCTCTAAAGCACACAGAGTTGGTGCAATAAGCTAATGCAGTCAATGATGCTCTAAACTCAAATCCTCCCAACTATTCCTTTAGAATAGTGAGCTATCTTTGTCATAAAGTTCCCATGTTCCTTTTTTAAAATACCCTTTACTGCTCAGCTAAAATGCAGTTGTGTTGAGTATTTGGGATGAGATTTCTCATTTTAAATAATTAAACATGACAGAGGGAAACAGAAGTGGGACTTGCTTAGCAGTTAGAAGTGGGACTTCTTGAATTCAGAGGAAGAGTCAATAGGGATGGTGGTGTAATAATACCCATGACTGGGAGGCTGGAAGTAAAACCATTTGAAGGAATAAAGGAGGCATAGACAAAACCAGCTAGCCCCTAACAGAATACTTCCAGAATCTGTAAAGTGCAGTTAGGCAAACTGTTACTACAGGCTTTATCTTGAAATAAGGCAATTCCATGATAAAGGAAAATTTTAGGCTGTCACTGGCAGTTAAGAGCCATCTCTCCCATTTCCTTCTTCTTGGTTTGGAAAATACAGCCTTGTGGAATTTACTGGTCACCCCTGACAAGCAGGGGTGAACTTACTAACAGAGCTGAAGACTGATGGATGAGCCATGACTTTAAATTTCTTGTTTCTTGCATCATGATTTCTTTAGCTTTAGAAAGTGTATTTATTCTACAAAGCGGGTGGAGAACCTCAGCACCTAGCTCTTGGTGCACACAAAGTCAAGTTACTAGGAGTCCCTGGACTCACACAGTTTGTGCCACTCAAGAACTATGTGATTTAAGACAAGGAGCACCTTCCTCGCTGATGGTGGCACCGGTGGCTTTGCATTTCTCCGTGCACTCCTCTAGGGCCTGGCCATCTTCAGACAGGTAGCACTCGATGCAGCTCCTGCAGGGGACACAACAGAGTTCATCAGCTCATATTGGTGGAGAATAGGCATGCAGCCAGCATGCCTCTTTACTTTCTAACTGGAGACATTGACCTCTTGGTACTTTCAGAAAGAGAGTTATGTGGCATCTAGGGGGATGCTAAATTGTTCTGATTTCTACTCCATAATCAGTGCTTTCTGAGGCAGCCTTGATGACAGTGCTTATCATTATTTTTCTACAGTGGTGGCTCCTGATTGGCTAAGAAAAAAAAAAAAACACTTCAGTGTTTGATTTAGCTATATTTTCATTTCACATTTTCAACATAAGAGAATGTTTATATCTATAAATATGACTAGAGTCTAGACAAAATTATGAATTTCTTAATCAGCAAGAATTCTAAGAATGACGAGTGCTCTTAATATATGTCAAATGCGATTATTATAAAATTCAATTTCCTGTTACTCTTTTGAATAAGTATAAGTCTTGATAGTGGGTTTCTAAATCTTAGGATTATAGCCTGGATCTTCATTATTCAGGCTTCTAAATAAAAGATTGCTGCTTATAGAAAGTATATTTCCAAAGATATAAGGAAATTATACTACTATAAAGATATCTATAGATCAAAGTAAAATGTAGGCCTTGATTAATCTTGTGCTACAAATAACTTTACAAATAGATTCAGTTTGGAGTAAGACGTAAGACAAACCTGCAAATGTTTCTTCCTGTGGGGGTCCAGCATGCCATGGGAATGAGCATTCTTCAAAGGACTTGAAATGCTCATGCCCACAGAATCTCAGCTGAAGCTGTATTTCCTTTGTTGTGAGAACCCCCAACTTCAAAATTATTTCTTTGTTACTTCATAAGTGTAATTTTGCTACTGTTAGGATTGGTAATGTGGGAGTGAGAGCACAAGTCCTGTCTTGAAGTGGCATTTGTGTTTTAAATATTTGTGGGGGAGGGGGCTGGAGCACACTGTAGAGAGCTTTCAAACATCCTTTGTGCATCTCGCTGTGACTGCTCCAGCAACACTTATCTATCCACAGCACCCTCAGCATCTCCACTTATCTCTGTTAATTACTTGAAGAAAGTATGGGATTGGGGGATGGCTCAATGGATAAAGAGCTTGCCATGCACGTATGAGGACCAGAGTTCCAATCCCCAGAGCCTACATAAACACCAGTCAAGTGCAGTAATCACCTGTAATCCCAGCACTTGGGAGGCACAAAAGGGGATCTGTGGCAAGCTGGCTTGCCAGATTATCTGGAATTGGAGAACTCTGGGTTCAGAGACCATGCTTCAATAAACAAAAGGGGGAATGTGACCAAGGATGACATCTGATGTCAAACAACTTCTTACCTACAAAACCCTACACATGCACCAGCACATGCATGTGTACCATACACATGCAAACATGCACATATGTGAACATACACACACTCTACATACATATACACATGCAAAGCATAAAATCTTATCTTTCCATTAGACCCTTAGCACTTATGAGAGTAGAGACCATAACTGTTTTACTTGTCACCATTCTGGCATAAAGCAGGTACTTAATACTGTTAGGTAAAGGAACACATGCCTGAAGAAAAGGAAGAATAGACTCATCTCAAAACTAACATCAACATTAACTAGATGATGTTGATTCCCAAATTGGAATAACCTTTATTGTTAATTGTTGAAGAATATTAGTTGAAGATGTGTTGCATTTGTTTATGCTATAGAATATTTGTTTAATGATGCAAAGATGTGTTGCATTCTTTTATGTTGTATTTATTTAACTCTGTGAAGCTGTATTACTTTGCCTGTCTAAAACATCTGATTGGTCAAATAAAGAGCTGAATGGCCAATAGAAAGGCAGGAGAAAGGATAGGCAGGGCTGGCAGGCAGAGAGAATAAATAGGAGAAGAGCATAAGGGTGGGGGGAAGAGGAGCTAGAAAAGGAGGGGGAGCCAGCCACCCAGCTACAAAACCAGCTAATGTAAGAAATAAAGAAAGATATACAGAAAAAAAAAAAAAAAAAAAAAAAAAAGGCCAGAGTCAAAAGGTAGATAGGGTAATTTACATTAAGAAAAGCTGGCTAGAAATAAGCCAAGCTAAGGCCAGGCATCCATCCATAAGTAATAATAAGTCTCCATGTGTGTTTCTTTGGGAGCTGGGTGGCGGGCCCCTCAAAGGGCCAAAGAGTTATAAAAACCAGCTACATTTTGACATACCAACATGAGGCTCAAATATCCCTAGAGCCTGAGAAGGGTGGAAAAAATACATCTCCTTTAAAAAGCCCTGCTATAGAGCCGAGAACTTGAACAGCCGTTTTCACAATAAGTAAAAACAAAAAAACTAATGAAAGGACACCTGTCACAGTGCAGGGCACCAGCATTCCATAGCTGGGGGGGGGGGGTGAATGCAGTTCCTGCTCAAACACATTTCCAGCTGGGCCACAAGCTTTTTGCTTGGCTGTTAGGAATGTAATACTAGGCAAAGCCAGCTGATAGAGCCTGGAGGAGGACCCAACTGTAGCTTAGCAGTTTAAAATTTGTTCATATGGTCAAAAAGGCTATAAGATACACAGTAAAAGAGGCCCAGACAAGGAAAACAAACAAACAAACAAAACAAAAACAAACAAACAAAAAAATAGGTTCCATTGTGTTTTACAATGTGGGTAGGCTTACAAAAGAAAAGAAAATGGGTATAGGCAGTCATAGAAAGATACACATAGTTTAAAAATAATAAAGCCTTTAAAGAGAGAAGTACAATAATAAAGAAGAATAAGCACGTAGAGATGGGAATACACAGGGAGTCTGGATCCTACATGTTGCTGTATTGACCTAGAACTTTTTGATTGTTGATAAGCATAGGACAGCTGCTAAGAGGCATGGGATTGAAAGATGGGTGGCTGAAATAAACCAGCCTATTTGCCTTAGGAATGCCTTAACTTTAAAATTGAAGTCAAAAAATGTATTTGTAAAATGGAACTTAAAAGATACATTGCTCTGGAGAAGAGGTTTTGCTTTTGTTACCACAGGAGATGAGAGGCTATGGATTCTTCCAGGGTTGACATGGATCATGTTTGATGGGGAGACCTCCTGAATCATGACAGATGATATATATCAACAGAGGTTATAGCTGGTCTTCACAGGACTTGGCCATTATCTCATTTTTTTTCCCCTCAGGGATCCCTAAACAGACATCAGGAAGCAGTGTAGAGAAGACAATGCTCATATTCCCAAGTTGTGCAGTGGGAGCTTGTTGATTATTTGGTGGGTTGTGCATGTTTGCTATCATTTAGGGGAATATAAGAATACAGGATAAAAAGACAACTATAATCTCAGATATTTTGCATTGGCATGGATCTTAATATATTGATACAAATTTAAAGTTATTTTTGTTACACCACACATATGTTTCTACTCTTGTTTAAGGTATTGCACCTATGCGGTTCATTTTTTAGATGTAAGGTAAAATTTTAGCTTTTGAAAGCTATTATTATAAACTATTTAGGATAATCAAGAAGTATGGGTTAGTAGTTAGTCATTTATAACAATCTAATTTGTAGAAATGTTAGGTGTGCTTTCAAGATCATGTAGAGACATGTTTTAGATAGATAGATGGTTTTCAAACACTTCAAAGACCCATAGAATTTGGCATCTAAAATGTTTTGTTAACATAGGGTTTTTCATGACAATGAGACACATATGCTTCCGGCAGTACCAATATACTTCAGAGAAGATGATGGGCATTGAAGAAACTCCTTATGGAGTTTGCTTTCATTGTGGCATTTGGGCCACTCTTGCCTGTCAGTATGCTGTATAAACTGGACTTGCAGAACATATAGGAAAGTGACTGCTGAACTTTGCCAAAACAAGGCAGGAAAGTCCTTCAAACTTCCTGCTTCACATAGAAGAGTCTGCCAGATACCCTAGGCCTATAGGCTAAAGATGGATGCCCCGATGTTGCAGAGGAACTTTGGGTGACTGTCAGGCAGCCAGATGTCTCTGTTATTAGATAATATTATATCCTTCTGGGGCTTTGATGGAGTTGAAGACTAGGTGATTATAATTGCAGTTTTCCTTAGTTATTATAGAAAGTAAATTCAGTATAAAGCTTTCAGTTCACTAAGATAGAATAGATAATGGAGTATTTTCTCTGAGTACGCTAAATACAAATAGACTGACTATTGTAAATGTAATTCTTACTTGATAACTGTTGTGTTGCATATAGTTTTACTGTATTAAAATTAAAACCTTTCGTTATTATTTAGACAAAAGGGGAGAATGTTATAGAATATTAGTTGAAGATGTGTTACTTTTTTATGCTGTTAAATATTTGCTTAATGGTACAAAGAGGTGTTACATTCTTTTCTGTTGCATTTGTTTAACTCTTAAAGCTGTGCTACACTGCCTGTCTAAAACACCTGATTGATCTAATGAAGAGCTGAGTGGCCAATAGCTAGGCAAGAAAAAAGGATAAAAATAGGAGAGATCTGGGAAGGGAGGACCTGAGGAATGAGAAAAAGGAGGAGGGGGCCAGTCACCCAGCTATACTGTAAGCCATGGAGTAAGATGTAAAAAAAAGTATATAAAATTGAAAATGATAAAAGCCCAGAGAAAGAAGTAGGATGGATAATTTAAGTTAGAAAAACTGGCTAGAAACAAGCCAAGCTTAGTTTGGGCATTCATATAAAGAACAGCCTTTGTGTATTTATCTGGGAGCTGGGTGGCAGCCCCCCCCCCAAAAAAAAAGAGTAAAGAGTAAAAATAAACTAACAACAGTTAATTTCACATCTTACAAACCAGGTAAAGGCTTTGTTTACAACAAAGATGAAATAGGAAAGCAATAAAAGGACATCTCAAAGAAACTTTACTTTTTTTGTTGGTGGCCATGCCTGTGATTGAGTAAGTATGGACTACTTACTTAATCCTATTTGCTGCTAATCTGGTTCACTGTGACCTCACAAGTCATTCAGAGACCTGCTTGAGGGGACCTACAAGATTTGCTTCAATTTTGTAAAGTGAAGTTGCTAACCAGAGACTGGTTTTAATAGAAAAGTGTGGTTGTATTTAGCTATTGTTGTTATTGTCTTAATAGAGTCAAAAGTAAACCACTACATATGAATAAGGATAACCACACAGAAATGCTGAAGAACATGATAAGGAGATAGAAAAGTTAAAGCTAAGATTGTCTTGTCTTTCTGCTTCTGCCTCCTTCAGGCTTCCAGGGTGGGAATGGCTTGGTCAGTCTCTAGATAACAAGGATGCCTGCTTCCCCACTGCCTGTGGGTGTCAGCGGGTACCTCCAGGACATTCAACTGAAAGGACATCTGATGATATCAGTACAGGATGTCAGCTCCATTCCCCTTGCTATCTCTAGAAGAAATGTGACATTGTGATTTTGGATAATCAGGACCTAGAAAGAGGCAGGTGAGAGACTGACATTCCAGGATGAGGATCTCAGGGGCCCTTAGGGTATGAGTTTTGGTAGATGCTGGAGACCAAACCCAGCTGAGACGATTAGAGGTTTGAGTTTACTAGATGCCATTCAAACTGTGATCACTTGGACACCTTGCCACAGAAGAGAACAAAGAAAGTAGAGATATTACCTTCTAGAGTTACAAGGGTCACCACAGGTAGGACAGCGTTCACAGGTGGGTCCTGAGGCTCCAGGATTCCTGCAGATACACTTGCCACAGATGCAATCCCCACGCCCGCTGCACAGCACTCCATCCTCAGAGGCACATGAGTCCCTGCTGGTTGTACAGTTGCAGTACTCTCCAGTCCAGCCATCCCGGCACACACATTCACCACAGTCACAGTCACCATTATCTGTATAACATAAAATGCACAGTGTGTTGCTTATGGCTCAAACCACTTCCAGGATAGGGAATATCTTCTTTTCTACTTACCTTTCAACACTAGCAAAGGTTGGGGATGGGATAGAGAGGGAGGCAAGGAGACAGAAGATAGAGAGAGATAGGTAGACAAATAGATAATTGATAGATAGCCAGACAGGTAGATGGTTGATAGATAGATGATAGGTAGATAGATAGACAGATAGACGGATAGATATTAGGTACATAGATGATAGATGGATGGGTAGATAGAGATAGATAGATAGATAGATAGATAGATGAGAGGTGTTTTGTTGGCCATATGTATTTACTAAATTGTCTTCTAGATGAAAATCACTTACAGCAAATAGCATAAATAATCAGTCAAAATGAGACCATGCAGATAAGCCCATTGGAGTTCTTTAGCAAATTGTTCATTGGGTTTTAGGATGGAGATGAAGGGCAAACCTGAATTATCACCCATCCCTCTATACCAGTGGTTCTCAACATGTGGGTCATGACCCCCCACAGTGGTCACATATCAGATATCCTTGCATATTTTATATTTAGATTATAGTTCATAACAGTAGCAAAATTAGAGTTATGAAGTAGCACTGAAATAATTTTATGGTTGAGGTCATCACAACATAAAGAACTTTATTAACGAGTTGCAGCATTAGGAAGGCTAAGAAACTGAATAATTGAAAAGTCCCCACTTAAAAGGCGCAGGGATAAAAATGCACGGTGGTTGTGGTCAGGAGAAAAGTTCTAGTTTTATATCCCCTGGTTGCCTATCCCATTGGTACATACTAAGCACTGACAAATTCATTATTCAATAGTTTCTAACTGAGCATGTACTCTGTGCCAAAGATTTTATTGGACAAGAAGATGTGACAGTGTAATAGATTCCTCCTGTGCAGAGAGTAGAGTCAGCCCATGTCGTAGCAGGAGCAGAGCCACACCCTCTGGAAAGGATTTAGACATAATCTCCCTCATCACTGAATCTGCCTATCCCTGGTCTCTATCCCAGAAAAGATGGAAAATATTTAGGAGGGTTATTTCCCCCCTTTTCCCCATGGGTCAAATTGCAATAAGCCTAATTTCATTCACCAATTTTTAGTCTGACTTTTGAGCTTTAGTATGTGGTGGGTAATGGAAACTAAGAGTCAATTATAGTTCCAGTTCTGACTGCATCTGGCAACAGAGATGCAGAATTCAACAGCACAAGGTTACTGAATTTATCCTCTAGTGTAGGAGGCCAGTGATGTATTACTACCAATTCTAATTATGATACATTATGCCGAGTCTATAATGCATGGTAGGAATCTCTAAACTAAATAGGGATTTGGGAAGGTTTCAAGAGGAAGTGATGCTTGGGTGGATTTTGGAAGCTAAGAAGAGTTAGATGAAGGGAGCCACATACATCTTAGAGAGAGAAAACAACAGCAGGTAATGGAAATGTTGCACAATAACCCATAGCAGTTTCACAGGGCAGCATCAATAGTGCAGACGGCTATGGCGAAGGGAAGTTGGGAAATTCCATGGAATGTCAGAAGTGAGAGAATAAGAAGCCACATGGCTTAAGAAAGAATGTTTTCCCAGAAGGTTATGGAATTTTATGTACAGCAGTGGCCTGAACAGATAGGTGTGTGTGTAGACATATCCTAACCCCATAGAGAGATCAAATGGGAGGCAGGAAAGACAGTTGCAAAGTCTTGCAGGAGCAGAGAGGTCTCACTCATGGCAGCATCATTGAGAACAGAGATGAAAAGATAAGCAATGTAAGCCACTGAATACTCAGAGCAAGGCATGACTGATAACAGTATAGCATGAAGAAAGAGAGATGGAACCCTCGCCAGGTTCAGCTGGTAGCATGGCTCCCTTTTGCCCTTTTGACTTGGAGTGGAAGCTGGCTTGTAGTTACTGCTGTACTCCAATACCTGTCATATCACTTGTTGAATGACTGAATGGTCCTGAAACAGAAGAGGAAAGTGGCTTTGGGAAGGTTGGACAGTGAGTCTCTGTGGCTCTGTTGAATTTGGGAGAGAAAGGACTGCTGGATATCTTAGTTGGCAGTTGAAAATATAGGAGCCTGGATGGTGGGGCTTGGCATCCATCAGGGGGGAAGGCTTCAGGTGAGGCAGTTGTGAATCATGCCATGTAGGGCAAGCAGGCAGAGCATGAAAAGCTCTGGAGAACATCAGCCTGTAAAACATGGACAGAAAGACCACTCCTCACAAGAGAGGTCAAGAGGAGGGGGGCAGTGGGAGTAATGCTACTGCAGAACCCCAGGACAGACTCAGATTGCAGGAGGAGGTGCCTGGGCACACTGATAGAAGAGACAGAAAAGGATGGGAGGCGATGGAAATATGCACAGTGACCATTCACAGGGCAGAAGCGATGGTGCAGATGGCTGTGGCATTCAAGAGCCCCCTTCTGGATCAAGCCACAGAATGGCTTATGAAACAGTCTAAAATGGTAAACAGCGTGTTTCAGGTAAGTGCCCTTCCCATGGAGTTCTGAGTGCTTGCCACGGACACTAAAACATGTATTTAGTGTTTCAAACAAATGATATTTATTTACAAACTCCTAACAGGTACCTTCCTTCAGGGAAAAAAAAAAAGATGATCCACATACAGTCATCTTATACAGAAAATTTTGCTCTTCCAGCAAAATTTGCAATTACTTAAATTAGTCTATGCCCATGTTTACAGTGGTATTTGACTCATAACTGAGCTTTACAAGGGCTGGCCAGTGGACATGTTCTTAAAAGCTATCCAGGAGGAAGAACTTGCAGGCACAGTCATCCATACTAAATGTTCTATTCTTTTATTTAAAACAAAATAAATAAGTGGTGTGAACTTCTACTTGTAGAAGGTGCTGATGAGTTTGCTATGATAGAAGACTGGCTTCTCTCTTACAGACTTGGTTCTAGTAGTTGGCTACTTTTCTGGTGTTGTCACTGGGCCTTAGGATTCTGATGGTAGAGGGATCCTTCATATAATGCTCCAAATCACAGTCGTTTCAAAGTTGGGTTCTGAATGCTCCCAAGGTGTGTGTGTATCCTCTGTGTGTTTGGATAGATAGATGCATGTTTTCTCTAAATATTATTCCATGTGGTATAACATTTAAGTGGGACACTTTTCAGATGAAAGATGGATCTAAATTTACTTGGGTCCATGACATTAAGACCCAATCCAGCTGTATTTCATAGCCTATGTAATTATAATTGAAAACTAAATGATTGGGGGGGGGAAGAATTAATGTTTATGGGTAAGTGATCTTGAAAACTACAATTATCTGCCTGCCCCCTTCTTCAGGAAAGGGGGAACATCCACAAAAGGAAGAAAAGCTCTGGGCTATAATTCACTCTAAAAATTGGCGCAGTGCATACATGTACATTTCCAGATGCCCTGTGGCTGTTCAGTACATCTATGTATACAACAATTCCTTGGCAGTTTAGAAAACTTCCTGAAACATTAAAAAAAAAAAAAAAGGACCATCAAAGCAAAAATACAAAATGTGCCTTTCAGAACTTAGCAACCCTCTACTCCACTGGCCTTCCAGGACCATCACTTAGATCACTGGAGGTGCCAATTGATGTCCTTGGGCATCAAATCATCTACATTACCTATTCACGCCACCATAATACCACCTTCATTTTGGTCTCATGTATAAGCAAAATGATAACCCAAGATCTAGAAAAACATTACCAGGCTCTTTTCAGAGGATAGTTCTTTCTGGGATGCCACCGAAAAATAACTCTTAAGTGCATAATCATTAGAAGTTTCTCCTCCAATACCATTTGTCTGATGTGGCTCCCAGTCTCTCAGAATCAAAATAGACTAATGGAATTTGGGCAAGGATAAACAAAATCAATGGAGCCTTCTATCTCTGAGTGCTTAAAGATGGTCGAAAGACACTGTATGACAAAGACATTGTGATAAAAGCTTTTCAGAAAAGCAGCACGCTGTCAAGTCGATTACTGACAGAGTAAGTGAGATCCACACAAATTGTGAGTGGCATGTCTGGTGACTTTGGGTCATCACAGCTGGGAGGACAGTGTCGGTCCATAGGGAGGTACAGCTTCCATTCCTGTGCTGTGCACAGTACTGGACACATGGAGGCCACTCTACCCATCCTGGCTGGATTTGAATACTTGTATTACATTTACTGTACCTCTTAGAGGAGAAGGCACTACAGTGTGAAGGAATTTGGCACGTGGAAATTTCTAAGTCCAGCTAAAGAAATCTTGTTTTCTAAATAGGATTCCTTGCAATTCCTGCATCTGATTTGAGTGTCAGTATTGTCTGACCTTGCTAACTATATAGTATATAGGTTGAGTAAATTCCTTTTGAGTGTATTCCTGATGCCCTGCACATATCTTTTAAAAAGAAAGGAATGAAGATGGGGGCACTATGTTGTAGAGCATGTGCCATCACCTTTAACTTCTAATCCTCCCACTTCAACCTCCGGAACAGTCTTTTGTATATTTCTGACACTATGGTTTAGAAATAGAACTTTTTTTTTGTTTTTTTCGAGACAGGGTTTCTCTGTATTGCTTTGGAGCCTGTCCTGGAACTAGCTCTGTAGACCAGGCTGGCCTCGAATTCACATCCACCTGCTTCTGCCTCCCCAGTGCTAGGATTAAAGGCGTGCACCACCAACACCCTGCTTAGAACTTTCTTAGTTTTCTGTAAAGACAATTCTGTTTTGTTTTATTGAGATGTCTGCTTACATCATGGGATGACCAGGGTGTCTAAGCTTAGTCAAGAGCCAGTTAAAGCTTCAGATTTAAAACTGTCAGCACGGTTGTAGTTCCTGAAATTGAGTAAGAGTAACAGAGTAATTTTGAATCGTTTGATATAGCATATCCTTTTCCTCCTTTTAAAATATTTGTTTTCAGCTATTTATTTTATTATTTGTATGTATGTGTCTGTGCACACAAGTACAGGTGCCTGCACAGGCCAGAGAGATTTGATCCTGCGGAGCTGGAGTTACAGGCAGCTGTATCAGTGAATGCCACATATATGCGGGTGCCCATGGGGGCCAGGAGAGGGCATCGGAGCCCATGGAATGGGAGTTATAGACAATTACAAGCCATCTATCAAGAGTCCTGGGAACCAAATTCAGGTCCCCTAAAAAAAAAACTATATGCTCTTAACCACAAGCCATCTTGCCAGCATCTATAGTATATTCTTTTTTGTTGTTTGTTTGTTTGAGAGAGAGAAGAGTCTCACTATGTAGTCTTGTCTGGTCTGAAACTCCCTGTGTAGACCAAGCTAGACTTGAACTCTCAGGCTACCTTTGCCTCTAAGGGTTGGTACTCAAGGCATGCGCCCCCCATATCTGTCTTCTTTCTGTAGTATATTCTTAAAGTATATTGTATTTGTTTTTATAGATATTTACATTTTAAACCTTTCTTGAAAGTTTCAAGAAATTCCAAGTTATTTTCTACTTTCATTCTTTTCATAAGCTTTCTCACATGTGTTCATGCCTAGCTTTACTTGACCAATCCCTAACTTGGTACATTTGGTGAGTATTCATGGCTAGGAATGATATAATTACTTATAATCCCAGTGCTTGGGAGCCTGAGACCAGAGGACTGTGGATCTAAGAATAGAAGGAGAGAGAAGAGAGGGAGGGATACAAACACACACACACACACACACACACACACACACACACACACACACACACACGTATGATAAGTAAAGGCCCTTAAATCTAATTAGCATTTCTGTGCCTTCTCCTCAGTTCTGTTCTTTTGGTAGTCTCTGTTACCTTCCCTCCCCCCCCCCCCCCAAGCAAAAGATATAAGAATAGGGTCAGACCCAGCAACTTAATCTAGAAAAGTCTGACAGACAATGGAATTCAGATCATAGGCAATTTTGTGGAATCTGGGTGATAACTAGATAGGTAGCATCTCCAAGTTTTATCTACTTAACCTTAAAAAATAGTAATATTTAAATATAATGTAAATGTAAGTTCAATTGACAGAGATCTGATCCCAAAGGAATGTTAGAAACAACAACAAATGCAAGAGATAATCCAGTTATACCAAGTCTGATGATTCATCCCCTGAAGCCGTCGACAAATATTTATTGAACAACTACTAAGCCCAGGAATGTGAGAAAGGAATGAAAGATGAAAAGCTGCTGTGTAAAAGGTACTGAGCTGTATCCTACCTCCACAGAGAAGGCCTTTGTGTCGAAGACAGGAGAAGTTGTCACACTGGCAGTAAGTTCCGTAGATGCTCCCATAGGGAGACAAGTGGCAGATGCATTGCCCACAATAGCAGTCACCCCTTCCATTGCATGAGGGTTGCCCTGGGGCCTCCTTGCAGGAATCTGTGCTCACTGTGTCCTCACCACACTCACAGTGGGGACCCATGTGGCCGGGGTTGCAGGCACATACCCCACACTGGAAGGAGCCATTCCCATTGTGGCACTTAGAACTGTTCACTTCTACTTGTTTCTGGCAGTCACAGTCACATTCTGCACTGATGAGTATCTCCAGGGTGTCCCCCAGACCCACAGGCTTTATGGTAAGGCTCCGGCTTCTTTTCTCACAATTGGATATGCTCACAGTCATGTTGAAGGATGCCTGGAAAAGAAAACGCGGTCATCTGCTTTCTCCACCCAGTGACCTGTAGGATTGGAGACAAGGCTGCTAGAGACTGGCTTTGCCCAAAGCATTTAGTGGGAGTAGATGGTTGAAGTTTCTGCACCAAGTCCAGCTTCAGCAAGCTGAGCTAGCTTCTGGCCTATCTGAATGTTATTTTTGAAAGATCTATTGGGTTTCTACTTACTGTATCCCCCACTTTCATGTGGGAGCATTTCTTCTGGTGTGGGAGGATGACACCATTGTTACAGAGAGCTGTGAAAGTCAGGCTGAGTCCTTCCGTGTCACCTAGAACTTCCAGTTCCACCTCAGACCGCAGTTCCTTTAGTGTAGACAAGAAAAGGCTAAATGAAGTCAGAAGCAAGAATACGTCCAGCCAGAGGAAGAAACCGAATTGTGCTCATTAAACTACAGAAGAAAGAACTAGGGAAGTAACAGTGGGTAAAGTGCTTCCCGTACAAGTGTGAGGCCTGAGTTCAGATCCCAGAACCCAGGTAAAGAGGAGCTCTGGACTGCAAGCCTGGAACCTGGAGTCTATGATGAGATGGCAGGCAAAGACAAGAGAAGCCTTGGAAGCAGTGAGTTAACAAGAGACCCTGTCTCCAATAAGGTGAAAGATGAAACCGCATCTACATTCATGCTGGAGCACATGTGAATGTGCTCATGCATGTAGCCACAACACACACACACACACACACACAAGGATTAAGCAAACAACTATAAATTAATAAAACTAAATTGGGTATAAAATTCATCATTTCATTAATCAAGCAAGAATGTGATATATATGTGACATATATCTAAATATATATATGCATATATATATATTTCTCAGACATCATCAATGTTGAGATATACTATCTTATAGCAATCAAGCTATGACAATGTATCTGAAGATGGTTTTGCACAGCATGTGGCAGGCAGGAGTCAATAATTGCCTGAAAGTTGTTTCATCCATTCTGGAGGACTCAGTAAATTCTCCTGACCTGGGTTGCATAGCTTGGTATCAAAAAGATAATTATTTAGCTTATGCACCAGCAGTGAAACATTATGAAGGTGTCCTTTACTTGTATGCATCACTGTTTCTTATTCTCATAGAGCAGCCCATGCTGCTTTGTGAGCAGAGCAGAATTGCATCCATCCCCAAACAATGAACATTTGCTTCACTGATGTCAAATTTACACCCTGCTGCTTTGTTGGGTACATTCCTGCATACATAACAACTTTTCATCTCAGTGTTGAATCATAGTTCAAAAAATATTAATCATATTTTACAACAGCAACTACACAACACTTAAAGTAACAAAAATGCATGTAATGACTTGAAAGGGCGATAATCTCAATTGTGGATGAACACTATACCTGGATGATCGCTACCTGGCACATGGTGGCTGTAAGGACCTCACTAATTACAAAATGGATCTATATTTGTTTTCTTGCCATGCTGCAGATTAAACATAGGGCCTACGGCCTGCCACCCCAGCCAAGTTATACCCTCTAATCCTCCAAATTTTAGAGGTGTGCGAGAGAATTGTACCTTGAAGTTATTTGGGGGAATGATTGGGCCTTAAATGTCAAGTCAGATCTTGGATAAGACTGGATTCCTGTTCTGAAATGTTCTCATCTTGCCCTTTCTATTCCTTGCTTACTTAGAATATATGTAATGAGACAAAAGTCAAACTATCAAACAATGAAAACATCTAACATAATATGAGTTGATTTAGATTTCAATTCATCCAAAAGGTTTTAGGTTCATATCTATTTCATTGTTGGCATGTATTATCATCTATCTATCTATCTATCTATCTATCTATCTATCTATCTATCTATCTATCTATCTATCTATCTATCTAATCTATCTTAGTATCTAACTATTATCTATCTATCTTATCTATCTTTCTTTGTATCTATCTATCATCTATCTACTTACCTACCTACCTATGATACTGGGGGTTGAATGTTCTGGGTAAGCACTCTATCATTGACTTATAGCCCCTTCCCTCATTTTTGGCATTATAAAAGCACATTTGGTTTCATTTATTTCTGAAGTATAATGTTGCCAACTGCACAGAAAGATAACTCTATTTCTTCCAAAATCCAGGATGTGTGTCTATGTGTGTGCAGCAGTGCAAATTTGTCAAGTGTGTGTGGAAGCTACAGGACACCCCAAGTGTTGCTCCTCAGAGACCATTCATCTTGTCTTTCGAGTTTGTGTCTCTCACTGGCCTCATACTCAACAAGTTGGCCAGGCTGGCTGGCCGGCAAACTCCAGGGATCTGCCTGTCTCTGCCTTCACAACAGTGGGACTGCAAGTGTGTCCTCCACCCCAGCATTTCTGTGTGGATTCTGGGGATCCAACACAAGCGCTTATGCTTGTAAGGTAAGCACTGTACCGAACAAGCTATCAAGCCAGCCCTCCAAAGTATGCTTATGCTGAAATCATGAGGAATTAAGGGAGAGAGATAGTGTTGGAGAGAGTGGCAGAGTGAGTTAGATAAGAAAGGATGGATGTATGCTGGTGACAGCATTAATGACTAGTGTGTGGCATTGTCTAATCTAAATGAGGAGAATCTCAGCATTGAAATAATTGAGTACTATTGCACAAATTTGATTGGGAATGTTATTAGCGTGCATTTCCCAAGGAAAGAATATAAATGCTAATGTATATTTCTCATCATTCCACTCATTAATTTTTTAAGCCTCTCCTACAAGGTTGGTCAAAAAACACAAATGAATTCCTTCCTAGAGGTTAAATTCCAGTAGAGAAACCCACCCCAAAACCACTGACACTTCAGGCACCTTTAGTGTGTAATAAGGCAAGGAAGAAATTAGTAAGTGGGTGAGTGAGTACACATCCAAATTTAAGATGTTTTTAAATATCAAGATGGCATTCAAAAATACTTGGCTAATGTTCATAGCCACCAGTTGCTTCAGTCTTGATAGAAGTTAATCAGAAGCCCTTTGCTTTCACTTTGTATATTCTTTCTTTATATAATGAAGAAGATATTCAGTCTATTGATTCCTCTGTATGAAAGCCTTTTTCAGATACATTCAGTAAAAGTAATAATTTTAGTAAGTGTCACAATCTCTTGCACATGTCACCTCATAGATCATGTTGCTCCAACAAGAACTCCAGGATAAGGAAACTCAGCAGAGTGACAGGTGCATCTTCCTATTTTCATTAATAAACACGAGTGTTTTGCCTGTATGTATGTATGCCTGTGTACTATGTGTATGCCTGGTGTCAGTGGAGGCCAGAAAAGGGCATCAAGTCCCCTGAAACTGGAATTACAGATGGTTGTGAGATAGCATGTGAGTGTTGGGAATCGAACCCAGATCCTTTGCAAGAGTAGCCAGTGATGCTAACCCCAGAGCCATGTCTCTAGCCCCAAGACTCTTTTTTTTTAGGCAATAAATAACGACCCAAGATTCCATTCAAATGTGTAATGACTTGATCTTAGCCACCTTGTAAATTGTGTGAGCAATTTGGGAATGCAAAGTGAGACATACCCTGGAACAGAGCGAGTAGGGGCATGGAGGGGGTTGGCTGACAGGATGGGTAAACATTTTTGACAATCCACTGTTTCCTTGTTTGCCTAATTTCTTTGAAGTGGTTAGCAGTCAACACTTTTAAGAATATAAAGTTAAAGAAAATGGAATGCATTATAATCCAGTGAAGGACTGCTTAGTGATTCTAGTTGATTCTACACATTAGAACTTTAATTAGTGCATGAGAATGGGGAGGGGGTGTTTCTGTGTGTTTTGTTGGCAGTTCTTCCTGTCTGGAAGAATTTCAAAGATGAGCTGACATGGTGATTAATTTTTGATAGGTGCTAAGAAAGCTGCAATATCTGAGCATTGCTAGGAAGGAAAATCCTCCACCATTGAACAGCTTTTGTGGCTAGAACTGTGCTTCATTCTCTGAAAAAAAAAAAAAAAAAATGATGTCTTTGCCAGGGGCCAGTTTGCTTTCCTTCTTGTTGCACAAGTTTCAAAATCAGTGGGGTGATGTCAAAATCACACTGGAGGTATTTCTCTTTTCAAAACAAGTTTCTTCCCTTCCTCTGAATGCCTGCAGGATACCTGAAAGGAATCTGAGTAAGACTAGCTTTTTCCAAAGCTTCCCAGGTGACTCTGGTCTGTTATTCAATCAAGGAACACTGGCTTTGTATGTACCAAGCATTAGAGTATATCATTACATATGGGTCATGAATGTGCAATTTTCAAACATCAAAAATTTGGAGAATTTAATTCATTCATTATTGGGTAAATACTCTTTGAAGAAAGGCTAGAGCTGTATGATTTCTAAAAGTTTTTTATGCTTGTCCAAATTGGAGTATTATTATTATTACTATTAATTTATTATTATTACTATTAATTTTTCAGTCAGGAGAGGAATATAATATTTAGGATCAAAATAAAAACAGCAGTGGCAACTGGCCATCCGGTGTTGACCAAGTGAGTTAGATAATAGGGACAAAGCAACTTTATCTATATGTCTTTGTTGAGGAGGGGAATTCTGTCCTCGGTATGGCTTCACAAGTCAACACACACACACACACAAATCAATCTGTATCTGTCTTACATCTTTCCCCATTTCTGTGATAAAATACCGTGACAGAAACACCTGAAGGGAGGAATTGTTTATTTTATCTCAGAGTTCCAGGCTACAGTGGGGAGGTCAAGGCTCCTGGAGCTTGAAGGAGCTACCATGTGGCATGTGGCAGTCAGAGTAGAGCCTGCCTCACTTTGCTCCCCCAAGCTCCTGCCCCTCAGGACACCCACCTGAAACTGTGAGTTCAAGCCTAGCCTTTCTCCCTTAAGCTGCTCTTTGCAGGATGTTTTAGCAGAGCAACAGAGAAAGAAACTTAGAACCTTCTGCTGCTCTGGAAATACACAATAGGAGACCTGATACACTGAGGGCTTGGTATGCTTTTGTTATTTTGGTTTGTGGTCAGGTCTTGTAGTTTAGTTTTGTTTGTGTTTAATATTCTTTCTTTGAACCCGTGGAGTTGGTTCCTACATAACTGTTACTTGCTGGCAATTTAGGCTGATTTTTTTTTTTTTTTTTTTTTTTTTTTTTTTTTTAAGCAGAGGAGTTCAGTCATGATTCTGAGTCTTTTCATTGTATAAAAGTTTTGCTGGAGGCCACACGTCTGCAGGCCATCATTCTAAAATAGCCTCAATTTGGGGTCAGGACTTTTTTTTTTTTTTTTTTTTTTTTCTACCTGCTGCTCCATTTGGGAAGATGGGTCAATGAAGTAAATAAAAATCTATATTTTAGCTGCATGAATGCAGAGGGATTTTCTCTGGATGAGCAGTCCTACCAACAAATGGAAGTGTGTTTCACTACCTGCATCTTAGTGTCTAGAAACCAATGGAATGCTGAAAAGGAAGCCAAGTGCTTGCAGAGGGATATAGCATACTTCATAAGCAGAGATGATCAGCTGAAGAATGTTCCCAGAGTCCTTCTGAAGCAGTCCCACTGTGGCTCCAGGAATGAGCTTTGCATAATTCTGTAAATAACAACAACAAAGGACAGGGGATGAGTCAGTTTTGATTGTTCGTGATAACAGAAATGCTAAATGCAGAGTTCCAGTGGCTGTGATTCTCTCTATTTAAAAGCAGGCTCCCTGATGGACCTAAGTTGCCACTGGGGAAATCGAGGAACTGGGTCTGCTATATTCCACAGTTGTGATTTATATTATATCAGAATCAAGTCTCAGGTTCTAATAAGATTTTATGACATCCTTTGTCCAGAAGTTTTGGGCAGACCTCCACAAATGCCTCTTTCTTTACCTATTGTTGCGGAAACCAAATTTTGGTGCACACACGGGAAAAGAAGAAATCAGGGTGTTTCAGATCATCAGGTCTAGAGCTCTTAATGAGCAATCAGCTAGTAGAGAAAGGGAGTGAACTCTTGCATGCTAGCTATTAATTCTTCACTTCTACCTGTAATGAGCAACCCTAACGGGAGTTAGATTAATCCTAGAGTTGATTGGGTTTATTCCTTCCTGCATCACAGTTGCTTAGAACCAATCCTAAGCAGTGTGCATTCTCTATTTACATTGACTGTCCTGAGATGTCTTTTCCACCTGGGGAGGATTTTCATTATGGGTTTATCAACAGTCTAAGCATGGAGTGTGGCCAGGAGATGTGGCATTGGCTAGGAGTAAGTTTTCTAGCCAGTGAACTGTTCTCCTTGAAGTTTTATGTTGTAAAGCTTTATTTTCAAATGAAAAGTGTGTGTGTGTGTGTGTGTGTGTGTGTGTGTGTGTGTGTGTGTGTACGTATGTACAGGTCAGTGTTGAATGCCTTCCTCTATTGTTCTCAATCTGAGTTTTTTTATGCAGGTTTGCATGTGTCTGTAGGGGATGTATGTGATTGTGTGTGTGGAGGCTTGGGATTGATATTAGGAATCTTTCTCAATCACTATCCACCTTATACAGAGTCAAGCTCTCTCACTGAACTCAGAGGTTGTCATTTGGCTAATTAGGAAACCCAGTGTGATTCAACAATTTCTTCCCTCTGCTAGGATTGAAAGCAAGCTTTTAATGTCTACCCAACTTTTCTGTGGATTCTGAGACTCTGGACCCCCATCTTGATGAGCCATCTCCCTAATCCTTTTCACTTGATTTTTTGAGACAGGTTCTGTCACTGGATCTTGAGCTTGGCAATTTGGCTATGCTGGCTAGCTAGCAAGCTGCAGGGATCCTCTGCTTTTGCCTTCTTAGTGCTGGAATTACAGGTATGTGCAGCAGCTCATAACCCTTGTGGGTTTGTTTGTTTGTGGGCTCTGGGGATACGAATCCAGGTTCTCATGCTTGCAGAACCAGCCCTTTACTGACTGAGCTATCTCCATAACCCAGACAGGAAGTTTTCTGACACACGGGTTGTCCGTCCCTATTTTCTTAGACAGAGACTTCCAAGAAGGCATTGGCACTATTTCTTTTTTATAGAAATGAAGTTTTACTTTCCATCTTAGCTACAATTCTACAGTCATCCAAGTCTTCCATAATCCATGGAGAAGTCAAGCTTGGTAGAAAACACCTGGGATTTTGTAACCCTGGGGAGGTCAAGGTGTGAGTTTTGTGAACTTGAGGTGAGCAAGGCCTACACAGTGAGTTTCATGACAGCTTGGTACATATGCAGCAAACAATTTCAAACAAAATAAAGCAAAAATTAAGGAGAGAAATTAATAGATCCTAGGGGCCACCAGCCAGGGGTGGGAACCACCCACAATGGGCTGAGCCCTTGTTCATCAATCATTAATTAAGAAAATGATCCAATGACCCACAGGCTTGCCTACAGCCCAGTCCTATGGAGGCTTTTTTTTTTTTTTTTTTTTTTTTTTTGAGTTGGGAGGGCATTCAGTGAATACTGAACCGCCCATGTTTATTGTTTCAAGACTTCTTATACCCCCATAGAAAGAGGGCAAAAGACTTCTTTTTATTTTTTTAATTAAAAAAAAAAATTCCCTCCTCTAGGATGGCCATAGCTTGCAAAGGGAGGAAAGAACAAAAGAGAGAGAGAGAGAGAAAGAAAAACACAATATTCTCATTCTGAGGGATCATAGCTGTATTACTTTCAATCCTTGTGTATACTGTAAAGTATTTTCTACCTTCTCCTTAAGTCCTCAGTTTCACCTTGACATGTATTTCCTGACTTACTCATCTAAATCTCAGTGTGTGTTAGGTAGCCTTATGATGCTGGACTATAAGAAGAGATAACACCCTATCAGCTGTGGTTTTTTACATTCCTGTGTTACAAAATCAGATGATGGAGTTAAAATTTTGCATAGAAAAAAAGAATAAATAAGCATCAAGTTACACATATAGGGCATCTCTTATAGGTCCAAGGAAATTCTGGCATCCTGTCTGTGCTGGCTTGTTTTTATGTCAGCTTGGTGCAAGCTATAGTCAACCCAGAGGAGGGAACCTTAGTTAAGGTGATACCTCCATAAGACTGGTCATTTTCTTAATCGGTAATTGATGGTCCAGGGCCCAGTTCATTGTGGGTGGTGGGCCTGGGTTCTATTAGAAAGCAGGCTGAGCAAGCCATGAAGAACAAGCCAGTAAGCAGCATTCCTCCATGGTCTCTGCTCCTGCCTCCAGGTTCCTCCCCTGTTTAAGTGTCTGTCCTGACTTCCACCTCTGGTTATGGAAACAGTGGGTTTCGGTTTTGAGTGTGGATTTTGTAACATTCCACTTACTCCGGGGATTCATGTTCAAAGTTGCTAGAATCTGAATTCTCAAATGTGTCATCTGTGGCCACTCTGGTGCTCTATCATAATATTAAAGGGGCCGAGGGCAGCAAAGGCAGGTGGCACTCCTTCCAATCACTTCACATTGGCAAAGGCCTCTTCCATTTCCCAGAGTAAAGGGGAGTTTGTGAAAACAGAGGAAGGCCCTGCTTGGCTGACTCACCTCTTCAAATAAACACATGTCACAAAGGGCCATGAAGCATGAGGCTGTGGTTAACAGCAAATACCTAAAGAGCTTGAATTCTACTCAAGAGGAACCAGAATGTGTGTAAATTTGCCTGGTCCTAGAAGAGAAAGCTGTGGAAACCTTTGTTCCTGACAAAGAAAGGTTTAGATCCTTTTGAAAAGGAATTTCAAGGCTCTTAGCTGGGCATGGAACTGCCACTCTTGAAGGACATCTTAGTATCCCCAAGGATGAGCTGTTGTAATTTTGCAAGCACCAGTTCAAGTGGCTCCAAATTTGGGGTTAATTCTTGACTAATGATGCTGATTCCATCCGCTTCCTAATGCCTAATTACGATCCTGCATGTGGTATGACATTTGGCATTTGGCTATTAGGACAAGTGGTTAACGTTAATCACTCTTGCTGATTGCCACTAGAGCCAGGGTACAAAGGAGCTGGCAGCCAGTAGCAGTAGCCAGTGATGACACCGACAATTATACAGAGGAAAACTATTAATTAATTTTTGAATGCTGATTTTTCCTCCAAAACTATTTCAAATAATTAACCAAAAACATGACAACTTGGCTTAGTGGTCTAACACTGTGAAAAATTATACTTTAAATCTTTACTGTAAGTGTGTATCAAATGCCTTTCCTTCATTAAAATCTTAAAGTGGTGTTATAAATTGTTGTGATTAAACATGTTTAAAGTTAGAAAAAGCACAGCTTTTTTGCATGCTGATGAATGACAGCCCTATGACTCAGACAGATGACGCTGACTCCTGGCATTAGCAGCAGTGAAGGTCGTAAACATGATGGCACATGAGCTGATTAGCAATGCAAAGTCCCACTCTCCATTACCCTCCTGAGGATTATCCTAATTACAGATTCTCTTGGACCCCCCTGCTATACCTCCCAGGAGTTCCTGAGTTTGCTTGAGCTTTTGGATCATCTGAGTTTTCTTACTTATTTCCATCTCTTAAAAAAAAAAAAAAAAGTGACTGGTTGTTTAACAGTGTGTGTTTGCAAGGGGAAGGGGTCATTCTGCAGTCAGGCATCAGAGGACAGTGCCTGAATGAACACACTCTGACCTCCTCTTCAGTGGTGTTTAATGCCTGGCTGTCACACCCATTTGGCTAAGAGCAGAGGAATGTATAATCACACCCATGTCACCTGTGGACTGATATCCGGTGGCTTTCCCCTCTGACAGACTCTGAGCACCTTGGTAAGCATTCCTGTGCTCTGGGAGGGCTCTTAGCACTCTGTCCTATTAGGGACAGCTAGCAGGTAGCAGGATGCCCATTCTTACTCTGGTCCACTTCCTGTTGACCTCTCAGGAGCACCCCTGACTTTTAGGTGGGTGTTTACATTGACTGTCCTATTTCTGGTCATCTTGATTATTTTTTTTTTGCCCTGACTCAAGCCTGGATCCTTTTATTTTTATTTTTTTTTTTCCAAGACAGAAAGCTACATCTCTGCATAGCTCTGGCTTCTAGCCCGGATCTCTAACACCTCTGAGCTCACTGGTGATCATTTTCTAGTTAACCACACTGCTCATGTCTATTGTTAGATGGTGGAAATCAGAAGTCAACCCTCCACATGTCAACTGGAAGCTTTCATAGACAATTTACAAAACACAGTGCTTAGAACAGCCACTGCTTGCATCCCTTTGGGCTCTGCCTTTGTTCAGTCTTTTCTAAGCAGACTCCCTAGGGTGTCACCCACACTATGACTTTATCTTATGCTCAGCACCATTTTCATCTCAGCATTGTTTATTTAGCATTGCATTTATAGCCTATTTCAGTGTTTCTGATCTTAAAATATACTTGTTAAATATAGTTAACTGAAATGTATTTACCAGAGTGTTGGCTCATATTTAATCTCATCAAATCTCACAAAGATTTTTTTCTTACTTCCTTACCTATTTTTACTTACTTTTTCCTATTAGCATTATCCCCAAACCATATCTTTCTCTCTATAATAGATATATATAGCATATACACAATTAGTATACAGTTCAACGGTTATTTAAAAGTAAGCAAGTATAACTACCATGATAACTTTGAGGTCAATTATAATTCCCTTGTAGTG